ACGTTAATTTTTGCTGGAGAGTTGACACTTTAAGACTAGGTCTAATAATTTTTAATCAATTTAATGCTAATTTTAATATTTCATAACCAAAGGACTTGAAAAGAGATTCGCTTCACTTTATTTCGTTTTTGTAAAGTTTCTGATTTTTTGATGTTAATAATGATCGTTGCATTAAGACCCTTCTTTTATTTGCACGCGACGTCTCTTACTTTAAGGTTCATCACATGCAGTTGCTCGAAAAGTCAGTGAAACTCTTTCAATAAAGGAAGGTATCTATAGAATGTACTAAATATGCGTAAATCCACACTACGAACAGGTTTAATTAATGCGTAAAGTACTAAAATCTTACGTTTTCATGATTTGTAGCCAGTTACGCGTTTGTTTGTTTTTTTGAAATTCACGCATGTTTCTCGTATAAGTGTATCTGAAAGAGTTTGAAATTGGTATTTGTATGATAGGACTTATTATTATATCAGATAGGCTTTTTGATATTGTCATGTTATCCTTGTTGATGGTTGTATATTATTCATATTTTATTGTACTGACTTGTTCGATATCTTCGGCTATTCTTTTTTTATAGATACTGATAGCGAGCCAAAACCGCTTAGGGCCAAACTACCCCCCTTGTCCAAGGCTCTGCTTGCATCAACAGCCATAATCAATTCAGCCGACTCCTAATTCTAACCATTCTTTCGTCACGATCTTATTGTTCAAAACTTTGACCTCCAACGCGCAGCTTTCACGTTGTTATTTTATGCCATCGCTGTTCCACAGCTGATTTCCGGTGTATCAGAAATATCGTACGATTGTTTGTTATTAGTCGCAGATCAAGGTGAAGTTTTGGTCGAAACACTTTAACAATTGGAAGGCGCAAGTTGGGATATAGCGTAGTTGTCTTGCATAAAAAACATAGTTTTGGTTTTATTCTTACCCTTTTCTGCATTCCTCGTTTCCTTGACATATCCACAATTTCTTAATATTCTCCACAATCTTTCTCTCAGCATGACCAACTCTATTCACTTCCTGTGATTGAACTTACAGCACTGTCCTTTTCCGACACACTCTGATAGCCCTCCGCGTATGACATCCAAGATTTTGACGGCGACTTTTCCCCTGGATGAAACCCTCTACACTCTTTACACAGATTTTTGAATAGTCCAGAACAACTTATCGAACACGCAGCATTACATTGATTTCCAGCAGTTGGATTGGCTCTGTTTAGCCAGACATCAAACTATATGTATTTTTTTGAATACGTCACTCAATGAAATTATATGATGACGAGATACGGAAAGAAGATGGTGTTTGGAAAACTATCAGGAGAGTAAATATACTTCTTGGCAGGGTACGAGGGGAAAGCATCGAAGATTGGAGCATCGGGTGTCGGGAGAGCGGTGAATGAAGTTAGGGGATCAGTGGTCAAAAAAGTTAGAAAAAGAGTGGTTGAAGCCGCAGGGAAATAGTCAGAAAGAATGAGAAGCGAATTCTCAAATAAAAATCGTTGAACAATCAGGGTTTAACGTTTCGGGTGTTTCGAATACTCTATTACTATGGTTACTGAAAATTTTCAATACACTCAGGATACAAGAAGTTGATCCACCTCCGCATAAATCGATATCTACGCTAATTGAGAAATGTTTAAGGAGAGATGTTAGTACAGTCGACTCTCCCTAAAGCTAAATGCTCTAAATGCGCACGGTGATTTTAAGTTTTACCTAAATCGATTGCTTAATTTTCCAAATTTGAGCCAAAATTTTACGGGCGGAATGGTTAAATTTCGAAATGTATGGGGCCAATCAAAATTTTCCGAACAAATATGGTCAAGCCCCGCGTTCAAGTTCTTATTCATGTGATGCTTCACCTACTCATACATACAACCTTTCTCAATCCAGGTTAATACATTTATAAATCAGTCTAATCTCTATTCGCGAATTTATCGAAGGACATTTGAATGAGGCCGAATCTCAAAACTCGCCAATTTATCGTTTCGAAAATGGAAAAAGCTTTCGCTTGATCTGAAGACATTTTCCATTTCCATAACATTCTTGTCACGAAAGGCTGTTCAAGGGTTAAATGAAAGAAAATCAGAGTTTTCCGTAGAAGAAGCTGCAACAAAGTCGGAACGAAAAATTCCAAAGGGAAACGGATAGGGAGTCAGCGAAGGCGAACGAGAACTCGAGTTAAAAGGTGACATCCGACAAGACAGGCGGTCAACCGCGAATCGAGTCTGAAAAAAGTCACCGTATAGACTCAAAGTCAGAATACCGCAACAAAGCAATAGAAAGTGACAGGTCGACGTTACCAAAGTTGACGTCTCAAAGGAAACCATAAAAGATGACAAGTCGGACGAAATTGTTAATGAAGACAAATCAAGCGACGCCATTAACGAAAGTGGGGCCATTGAAGATACGGCAAAATGTTGCATACTTTGGTATTTAAGATCTTAAAAAAATTTATCTATGTAATAAAAACTCTAGTCAATCTAAATCGATTTTTACTTTATCGCAGAAACTATGCGGCGGCAAGTTTTCCAAAACATAAGAGGCCGACTTTAAAACAATTACCAAAGTCAAATGGATGTCGGAAGGCAAAAGCATTAGGAAAGTTTTTTCTCCTGCTTGCACAGACAATGAATCGATACATTAACGTAAACGTTGAAAGCCACAACACGTGAACAATTTCCTTGATATAATTAATCAGAATAATAAACAAGGTACGAATAGCGCGTGCATATTTTTTTTTTCAATACCGAATATTTCTCCTTTGGCTGCTAAAAACCGTTGCAACGGGTAATCTATTAGATAACGGAAAGTCAAAACGGAGCCAACCCTGACACTATAATTATGAGCGCATCAATCACTATTTACTATGTCGAAAGCACAATAGTCAAAGATGAATTGCAACAGAAAGCAAGCGCGGTTCCGTAATGATTACCTTGATTGCCTTCTTGCGTCAGAGTTGATATATCATTTTGCGATGCTACGTCATTGTAACCTGGTATGTTAATATACCAGCTTTTTGAGAATCAGTGAGATTTTTGTCAAAATTTACTAAATATGTTTCTTTTTCAGCAGAAGTACAGTACCGGTCTACGTTTTTTTATTTGATACGCTCTCGCAACAATTATAATTTCACTCGCGGTGCTGTCTGTTTATTACAAGTTCGGTGCATCAAAACAAATATGATAACAAAAGAAATAGAGAATCTCGCTCAGCAGTAATCAAAAAAGAAAAGATTTGTTACGACAATCATGCTAGTCGAGGATAAACTACCAGCGACGATATTTCAGTTTGAAAAATAGTCTCATGAAAAAGAACTTTAAAAGAAACGGGAAAACAAAAAATACCACGTACAGATTTCCATTCATCACCAAGAGGTTAGTCTGCTGAAGTAAATAGGACGACGGGTGGGGAGAGCTTGCTGGGTTTAGGAACAAGATACACAACATATTCCTAAAGGAGAGGTGACTAAAGAAGATCGAATTACAAAATGCGGTATAATAATGATTGTAGTTGCAAGTTGTCAAACGTGCAATATATATTAACAATTGAAATATTTATAAACCTTGAATCGATAAAAGACTTCGATACCGATTTTCTTAGCAACTTAAATAGTTAAATAACGAGCAGTAATCGACGCACCTGTACAAACAAATACTCGTAGCCAATCATTACGAGACACCAAGATCCGCTTTTGCGCAACAGGATTTGTTGATAATAATAATCTATTAGTAATAAGAAACCGTAAGAAACCGTAAAAAAGTATGGAAACCATAAATAACCGCAGAGAAACCGCAGAGAAACCGTAGAGAAACCGTAGAGAAACCGTAGAGAAACCGTAGAGAAACCGTAATAGTAAAGAAACCGAGGGAAACTGAAATTTGTAAGATACGCTTAGCATCCCGATTCGATTGGTTCATTTCACTTCATCGACAAAGTTTCCCAACATTATTTCGAAATTATCCTTCTTTGGTAGTTATTTGTCGGTAACATGATTGTCGTTCCCATGCTGCCATCTTGCTGTGAGTGTCGGCCAGATTTATGAAATAGTGATGGACCTGTGCCTGTGCCCAGAGTGATACAAGATAATGTGATGAAAGGGGGCGCAGATAAGTTTATTGTACGTCACACTCGTGATAATATCTGGTAATTTTTGGTAAGAGGGAGGGGGGCGAGCAAAGATTGTTCAGCGTTTTGGAGGGAACAATCAGACAAGGATATTAATATGGATTAAAGTTAGATTAATTTGCATTCACTCGTCTGTTCGATGCACGATGACGAATGTCAGCGTTGAAGCAAGTTCCCAATCTCGTCGTGAATGTCCCTGACAAACAATATGTGTGACTCTTATTGCTTCACCATCATCATTCATTCAGGTTTCTATTTATAGTCTAAGTATACACGGTCAAGACTGAATGTCTTACCGTGCAACGTTCTGAGTCTATTGTTCGCTCTTTGATATATGTATTGATGTTGAGCAAACCTTAGTATCTTTGCTTACGTCTTTGTTTACAATATTTACATATTTACGGAGTAATGTGCGGTTTGATCTTCCGGAGTTTTTTGTGTTATGTCTCGCTTGATTCAGTAAAACCATTATTAATATGACAACTGAGAATTGACATTCTGTCTGCCGGGCAAAAATTCGATAGACCACGTTGCGCTTTGTCTGAACTTCAATGGATATAGTAACTTAAATTCTTCGCCCGTAAATAACCAATTATTTATAATTGTATATTACCATTTGGGAGGGGTGCGGGACATAATAGCTGTGTTTATATTATATTTATATTAATTAATGATGGAATTACTTATTCGGATCATTGCTTCCAATATTGGATTGACCGTTAACAATTCTGCTTCAGCCCCTTTCTCTTAAAATGGTGTATATTTACTGCGCGGTATAACAATGGTATGTCGACTACTATTTGTACTCGTATACCATTCCCTATTTAATGCGGCTTGAAAACGCAACTTGTCTTGCTAAAGCCCGAATCACAAATGTACATGATTACAAACTCTACGTCAAAACATCTCCTGGGCATAAGTTTTCACACATACTCATTTCTGCCATCATACCGGCATATTCCTCTCTTGACAATACTGTTCACAAGACAAACAACAAATCACGAACAGGCCGAGCCTAAAAGAAGTTTTACTTTGGGACCGCCCGGACACGCTGCTGAGAGCGTAACTTTTTTCAAAGTCGAAACGGCGATGGAAGAGGCCCTCTACCGTTGTCTTCACCAAGTCCTGGCCATCTCGCCTTCACCGTGTGCAGACATGGTTCTGCACACACGATGGAAAAGCTTTACGTCCTGGCCATCTCTACCATTGTCGAGCCCCCGTGTGCCGACATGGATCGGCATACGCAATGGAAAATTTTTAAGTCCTAACCATCAACGTGCAGAGATAAAGACGGACGGGGTCGAAAAAAATACGGGCAAGCGGATGGACAAACTTGAAAAGGACTATCCACCGCGGCAATGCTCCAGTCATTTAATGCAACGACTTGTGTCTGCTGCGCGCGATGGCTGGAGCTTTTGTCGTCGCATAAGGACACCGTTTTAATTAAAATTGTATAAAGTTTAATATTTGTTAATTAACTAAATTATTATTATAATTTTAAAATATTTTAATGTTTATTTTATAACAAGTGTTTTATTATAAACACAACACTCCAGCCATTTAATGCAACGACTTGTGTCTGCTGCGCGCGATGGCTGGAGCTTTTGTTGTTGCATTAGGACACCGTTTTTAATTAAAGTTTAATACTTGATAACAATTTTAAAATGTGTAAAACAATATTTTAACGCTTAACCAAAAATTTTTTATAAAAAATGGATTATAACAAATTTATTATGAACACAACACTGGCAATACTCCAGTCATCTAATGCAACGACTTTGTGTCTGCTGCGCGCGATGGCTGGAGCTTTTGTCGTCGCATAAGGACACCGTTTTTAATTAA